TCTCTCTCTCTCTCTCTCTCTCTCTCTCTCTCTCTCTCTCTCTCTCTCTCTCTCTCTCTCTTCTTTGTCGTTGTCTCTTGTGCAGGTACGCGGCACTTCACTCCGCAGCGCAGCTATGGCGTGGCGCAGGGCGCTCTCAAAGCTCAGAGATATGGAACTCGAGAACGCAGTTCAGATGCAATTCACTTCAAAAGGCTATGGCACAACAGCGCCTGTACAACCCAACTCTCGTCACCACGTCCGACATCACTGTTCACACACACTCAACTCTTCTCAACTCTGGATCACCCTGAATACTCCCACACACACACACACTAAGTCTATCTTCCTCTTACAGCGGCTATGGCCGCTCTACCCCTACTGACTATGGCTACGATCTCACTCTTCAGCCCACTTTGACTTCGGGCAACCTGCAGACCACCTTCGCACAAGACGCTGTAGCAGCGCTTCCGCATGGCTTACGCAGTGAACGAATGAATTGCTGGGCGCTGCTCTTGATGTATACTTCTGTTTGACGCTGGTCTGCCCTTTTCCACCAAGCCCTTAGTGCACACAGTCCCACACGGTACTTGCTTAACTGGACTGCGACTGACTGGGACCGGTACCGCTGACTGCACGGGGTTGCGCTGCCGACTCGACGCAGTCGCACTGCCGACTCAGCGCAGTTGGGCTTACCACTTGCCCACTTGCCTCTGGCTAACGTGAGACGGTTTCGAAAGGCCACTTCCGCACCTTCCGGAAGTCTGTGGACTTGGCCTTTCGAATACTGTAGAAGCTACGACCTTGACCTTTCAGGACTGTAGCAGCTACGACCTTGACGTCTCAGAACACCTACAGCTACGCCCTCTACAAAGCTGTGTTCCCTACCCGACAGACCTACAGATCGAACCCCTACATCTACACAGACCTACGACAGACATACACCCAACTGCCGAAACACAGGTCACTGGTTCAAACACTCGGGGGTCAACTCTATACTGTACATGGGTAAGGTGAGGTCTGGGGATCGAACTCTAGGACCCACATCTGTGACTGCAAAAAGATGAAAACCGTTTCAGCTCAGCTAGGTCTTCCATGTGTTCATCCACCTCATCCTTACAATGTATGTCCTCTCTGTCGTCAAGGACAGACCCATTCTTGAGACTTTTCTTATCCTCTTTTGCCTTCATCTTCACTCCACTCTCCGTACTTTCCCTCACTTTCCCTTTATCGTTCTTTGTTTGTCTGCTCTCTATCTCTCCTCCCTGTGTTTATCCTCTCCCCCTTCGCTCTGCATCTTTCTCACAGCGTACAAGTGGGCCGCTATGGTACACGGGGATGGGGGCAGCTCGCGCTCAACTTCATCATTGTGGCGAGCCTTGTACGTGAGAGGCACAGTGAAGGGGGAGTTAAAAGAAGAATGAGAAAAATGAATGGTTTCAGTGTGCCCTTCATGTTTGTCTTGTTTTTTAATTTTTTATTTTTGCTGTTTGTTTCGCAAAGTGCGCTCATTTAGTTCATATTTATGTGACAATATATATATTATAGATAGATAGATAGATAGATAGAGATAGAGATAGATAGATAGATAGATAGATAGATAGATAGATAGAGAGAGAGAGAGAGAGAGAGAGAGAGAGAGAGAGAGAGAGAGAGAGAGAGAGAGCACAGGGAGGCGATGCAAGCCTCTGTGTGTGAATGCTGTTGAGATTCCATTATTAACTTCCATACTGCACCACATCCTGTATCGCAATAATGCTGCAACGAATTTTCGTAGTATCTCTTTCTGTTGAAGTTAACGACTTGATGTTCGTATTGGCTCTATTGAGTCACTGCTGACCTATTTCGTCGTTGGGTTGATTGGTATTGTGACTATTGTCACTTTGTGCGGATTGTTTTTCGCCTTCTTCTGATTCCGAATGTCCGAATTTCAGATCATCTGCGCAATTGTGATCTTTCTCGGATTATTTCAACCTATTTTGTCTTTGGGTTTCTTTGCGGAAACACTTGATGTCAATGCTGACCTATTTTTCTTTGTGGCTATTTCGCTTTGTGTTGGCGTTGCGTGTGTGTGTCCGTCTGTCCAGATCCTTGCCTAATCGCAACCTGACTGGGACAATTCCAACCGAATTTCAAGACTTACGCTCCCTGGGAAGCCTGTAAGCAGCTCTCTGAGAACAGAACCTAGCCCGCTACTCACCAATTGAAACACAGATGGCTTACCCTGCTATTATTCCCCCTGCGCACCCACTTAACATGGAAGCGAACTGTCCTCTCTCTTCCTCTCTTCCTCTCTTTCTCTCTTTCTCCTTGAACCACCACTACCTTGTCCCATGTGGGCTGCCGTCGAGCCCCCGAAGCTTTAGGAAGGAGGAGGAAACGAAACGACGGCCGCCGATGAGATTTATCAACAGGGGGTGTCGTCGGGCCCGACCTCCGACTTTTCAGGAGTAGGCTAGTTTCCCGTTTTCCCAACAGCGGGAATGGTAGTGGTGGTAAACAGGCCTTGTGGTCTCAGTTTTTGTCTTGTATTGCGTCTCCTTTGTTAAACAGGGCCTTATGGGGAGTGTCATGCTTTTGTTTCTGGCCTCTCGCTCAGACTTTTGTCCATCTCTTTCACTAGTATACCTTGTCGCTGGTATTTTGTGACCGTGAGTTTGTTTCATCATTTTTTCAAGTTTTCATGTTGATTCGGTTTTGTCAATTTGTGAGTTTTAACCATCTTTTATGTTGTTAAGTAACTTAAGTTCTGTTTTGGGGTTAGGGTTAGGGTCTGGTTTTGATCTTGCTTCGGTTGGATGGAAATGTCGTTTTGTCAGGTAGGGTTGGTTACCTTTGTTGTGGCCCGTCCGCTCTGCTGCCTTTGTGCAGTCTTGTGTGCCCTGCATCTGCGGCTATTGATTGCGCTCCGTGCAGTGCTGTATATGGCATGTGGCCATTCACAGAAAGTGCATTTGGTCCTTAGCTCAGGGATTACTTCTTCTGCATATTGTCACTCCCTTGATTTTGTTTTTGGAGTGCGGCGGTGCAGTGAGTAGGTGGATGTGTGGTTGTCAGAGGAGTGATGTGTAGAAACACTCCTCTGACAACATCCATCTTAATGCGAGCCGATGCATCGAGCAGACAGGTTTTGAGCTCTTCCGGCTCAACCACACATGTGGGGTATTTGCACTGATTTTCGAGTTTGGAATGAGGTCACATGATGCCTGGTGATTGAGAGAGAGAGAGAGAGAGAGAGAGAGAGAGAGAGAGAGAGAGAGAGAGAGAGAGAGAGAGAGAGAGAAGTGGGGGTTGCTCGTTGCTGCCATGCTGACGATTACTTTGTGATGCGATTTTCCTAATCATTGTAGGGACTTATCGAACAACAGTTTCAGTGGTCCAGTCCCGAAGGTACTTGTGGAGCGCAACTATAATCGCACTCTCGATCTCAAGTATGGTCATCTTTCATTCACTGACCTTGGCAGCATATGGACTTTCTCTCCTCAACCAAACTAATGCATTGCATGCTCTCTGTGAAACTGAAAATTTCTTTTCTCAGTTCTTAATAACTTCACATGAGAATCTGTGCTAGAAATTTGAATGAGACTGTCGAAAAGGAAACCGCCAGTGTTGAAATGTTCAAAACTGAGCCCACATTGTTCGTGCATTTTCAGCCTTCTGTTACGATCCTGGCCAAAACTGAGCCCACATTGTTCGTGCATTTTCAGCCTTCTGTTATGATCCTGGCCAATTTCGAAGTACAAATTCACGAGAAAGCACAATGCCGATCAATTGCAAAAGAAAAGAATAAACTTGAGAGGAGAGAGAGGGAAAGAAGAAGAAGAAGAAGAAGAAGAAGAAGAAGAAGAAGAAGAAGAAGATGTACAGCAGCAAAGACCAATGATAACTCCCTTCCTCTCGCCAACCAATCTCCTCCTTCTTTTCTCCTCCCCTCTTTATTCAAACAGTAAATAATAATGATAACAATGAATGGCTGAACCAGAATCAATGTCCGAATCCTTCTTCTACTGCAGGCATGACATGAGGTCCACTATAGCCATGGCCACCCTTCTGCTTGCTCTTCATGATGGCCGAGGCTATGGCAGACTACTAGGGCCTTGCCCTGACGTGCAGAAGACAACACAAAGCAGCTACGGCTGCTCCTCAACAAACCGCCATGCCTGACTCTGCCTCAAAGCTTCTTGATGTAGCTCTACCCCAACGGGCGCCTTCCGGATGCAGCGCCCACCAAGGTGATGAAGATGGTGTCCACCATAGCCAGGTAAGTACCCCTGATGCTCCTCTCCCCTAGCCCCCTTCTTCCTCCTCCTCCAGCCCAAGCCCCTCCACCATAGCCGAGGTGGAGAGCGGGGCGCTCTTCCTCTTCCCCAGTGCTGGACTCAGCTGCTCTCCAACCAGCACTCCAGCAGCGTGACTCCAAACGTGCACGCAGCAAATGAGAAGGAACACTTCTCTCCTCCTGGAGATATAGCGGCCTACTTGCCTCTTGCGTGGTGACTTCCAGGCCGCGCAGCCTCGAAGCAATCGGTACTTCCTCCCTTTCGGAGGGAAATATCATTGCAGACTCTGATATTGCCCGTACAGGCCCTAGACTCAGACTACTTGGACTGGTCCTGCCTAGACCTAGCCTACAACTACTGGGCCTCTAAAAATGCCAACTTTTGTCTTCTTCTGCTCGGCCAAGAGTACCCGACACATTGTTCTTGTCGAACTGTGTTGAATTTGGAAGCTGTACCTTCCGCAAGGACACTTCCATGCACAGACTACTGTCTTCATCCAAATACAACACATGGATATTGTGTCTGTATCTAGACTGAAAACTCCCCAGTAGAGCTAGAATAACTATGCGTTATATTTTGGGTGAAAGTTCGAAAACAGTTTTGCCACTTTGCGCGGAAAAGAACAGCAGCTTGAGTAGTAAATGAGTACCCCAGCTGCAGTTGTCAATAATCACTGTGTTCTCCAACGACCTACCGTCTTCAGCCGAATAGAGCGCCAACACATAAGTAAATATTCAGGGCATTTGGCTATGCGAAAAAAATGAAAAATTGCCAAAGATCGCGGTGTCGGGTTCGAAACCCTCACAAGGGTATCTGCCCTGTATTTTCAACGTCGGATGGTGTCCGATTTCGGACGAGAATTTTGTTTAAGAGATCTGACTTGATGAAGTGGAAGCACAGCCGAAAATCTCGTCCGTGATTTAAGAAATCGAAGTTCTTGTGTTTAGGAACAAATGTCTAACTACCGGCAGATATGATGGCGAGAGTAGACGGTGTAATCAATCAGCCTCGCGTTGAACAGAGCCGGAATAGGCAGATTTGCCCTATCTAGACCGAAAGTTGCACAGAATGCAGCTATAATGACTGGGCGTTCTATTCGGGTGTAGACGGTAGCAGCACTCTAATTGAGGAGGCCTCTCACTCTTCGGAGCCATAACAAGAGCCATGCAGTGACATTGCAGTCCCTTTTTTTTTCTTTTTTTTTTTTTGTTCTCCCCCTCCACATCGGAAAGATAGATGCTAGGGAAGTTGGGTCTGGTAACTGAATTGGTTGGGCTTAAAACTAATGTAATGAACCCAGTCTGGAAGATACTCATCAGACGTCAAAGTACAAGTAGTCCCAAATCTGCACAAAGTCTCCAGTTAACGTGAAGTGATATTTGAAACCGTATCTCGTTACCAATAGACGAAGAGAGTGGAGGGAGGATAGACAAGGGAGAGTGTGGAAAATATAATCAAAGACCACACAATAATAACCCAATCACCTTCTCCGGGCTTCCTCTCCCTCCACGTCATCAATCAATAAACAGTAACCAGTCCGATAAGTCCTGATCACACAGAAGTGCCACGTGGCACTATTCTCCCATGGAGACAATGAAGACAATCAGCAGCGTACAATATCGACGCCAGACTCAGGTAAGTATCCCTCCCTCAATCGTCCACAGATCCCGATCTCCCTCCTTATCACCTCATGTAGACAGTGTGGCCAGTGCCACGTCAGCAGAAGAGACAGGTGGCATGCGCCACATCAGCAATGCAATGTAGACAGGTGGCAGCACCACATCAGCAATGCAATGAGATAGGTGGCAGCGCCACATCAGCAATGCCTGGCGCACAGAGCAGAAAGCGCCAGCATGCTGCCACAGTCCCGCGTCGTCGTCCACAGTGCTAGCGCACAGCCAGCGTCGAGCCAGCATCAAGGCAGCATAGCAAGACTGAATGTTGACCTCCTGGAGACCAAGCCTGAAGTGTTTGACGAGGCTGCCGGCCTCAGGTCTCCTTTCCACAGTCGTACAGATTGACTCACAGCCGAGGGCCTGGATCGTACGGTTGCAGATTTCCCCCTTGGTCCTGATGCTGTCTGGGTACCTGCATACAAACAAGTGTGTGCGTCTGACCGGCGGCCTGGGCTGGGTACACTTTGACTTTGACTGTTGGGATACGTCAACTGTAATTCACCCAGGCCCTGAATCCTTATGTGGGGTTCTTTTTCCCCTTCGGCCTGGGTCTGAGTGCGGCCTGGCAAGGCCCTCAGACTTCCCACGAGGCATACAGCATGGGCTGTTGCACTTAAAAGAAGTAGCCTTTTTTTTATTTTTTTATAAAGAAAAAACTTCAGAAAAGGTGTCGTTCCTCCAGAGAAAATGCTTCGACCTTTTTTCAAAAAAATGCTTTGACAGATGTTGAAGGAACCATGGTAGAGAAATGAGGAGACATTTACAGAATGGCAGGTTCGTCTGATGACCAGGTGCATTACGGATGGCCAGAGACTTGAAAAAAAAGGCACACACAAGGATGTAATGGCTATGTGCGAAGGCTCATGTACAGAAGCAACGACTTCTGCCCCCGGAACATAACGCCTGGTCATTTTATCTGTTGTATCTGACCTGAAAGTTGCCCTCAATACCTACTTTGTGTTCGGGGGGAGAAGGTAGGTATTACTAATGTGTGGCATACTGATTCTACTGATCTATTGTGAGACACAGTCAACCCTAAACGCTAACCTGACCTTCAAACAAACTTCTACTGAAGTTTGTCACAGAAGAATCGCTGACCAAAACTGTAACAGAAATCGCTGCCCAAAATGGTAAAGGAATACAAAACATGAGGGCGCAGTGGTAAAAAATCCCTTATCCCCTGTCTGATCCCACCCTCACATGAAACCCTTCAGGCCTCGAAAGGCCTCCGAAAATATTAGAAGATGGGGAGGTTGCATGTTTGTGGTTTTTTTTTTTTCGGGGGGGGGGGGGGGGGGGCGGGGGGTGCATGTTTGTTGGAGTCCGAATGTTTGTGTATGAGATACCCTGTACAGTGCCGATTTGTGAAAATGCTGTACTACAAAAAGCGGCTGACTGTAATGTCAATAGATACCCAAATATGGTTCAAGCGCAATGGATTGAGCTCGTGATTTGTCTACTAGCCGTAACATGTCTGTAGCCGTCAGGATCTGACCTCGCGATCTGCGTATCAACAGTTCCAAGTGCACCATTCAGCCGAAAGGAAGGATCATGGGCTCGGAACTTTGCGCATTTCTTTGCTTCTTGGACAAAATAAGGTCGTACTCACTCGGATCTGAGCTCGCGATCTGCGTATCAACAGTTACAAGTGCATATCATTCAGCCGAAAGGAGGGTACATGGGCTTGCAACTTTGCGCATTTCTTTGCTTCTTGGACAAAATAAGGTCGTACTCACTTTGGTTCTAAGTTCTAACTTTAATGTATCTGACCGTATTTACAGCTGTACTTGCATGTGTCTGACCGCAATCATGGCCTTAAACCACCAGTACTTCCTAAAGCCCGGGCCCGTTAACCAGCCGCAATTTTAGGAAATGCACGGACCACTACAGGAGCGCCCAAATTCATCCGAGTTCTAGAAACGTTTCTACTCTATTGTTTTCCACGGCCGATAGGTGGGCCAAGTACTGGTGGTTTAAATAAGTAAAAAAGTTGCAGTGTGAGTATGCCCTCAGTCAAGACTTACCACTACCATTTTTTTCTTTTTGTCGTTTCGGTGTGGGAGGGGTTGCTTGCTTTTCTGAAGCTGGGGTGGGGGGCTGGAATGAGGCAGGAGGGGGTCAAAAACAAGTTCCCTCTCTCCGACATGTGCCTCATGCGCCAACAAAAAAATGAGATATGGGAAGTGCTCTTTTGCCCCTAGCATCGTCCTATCCCACCGGATTTGAACTCATGATCTGTCTTTGAAGAGTTACAGCTTCTTTGGGCCTCGCCACACCACTCCCGAGTTCTAGAAAAAGTTTGGGAGTGCTCCTGAACGCGAAATCCCGTTCGAAAGTGCGTTTCGCCACACTGCACTCTCTCCTTGAACGGGCCGCTCTCCATCTCTGAAAATGACAGCCGCCTCATACGGACACATTCGATGGGAAGCAGTCCGACCAAAGTCTGTTTCAAATTGTCGCTTTGAGCTCCACTCTGGAAGCTGGGATGTGGAACTCTTGAGGTTGGAAGGAGCTCTCCCGAAAACGCAGCTTTGCAGGGAGCTGTGGTTTCGGGAGGCCTCTCGGGAGTGAAATTCTGACAGCTCGCAGCAGGTGTAGATCCCCCCACCAATACACTGGAGCCCCGTGAAAGACAGGGAGGAGTGTATGCTCCTAACATCACTCCTATCTGTTGTCGGTGGGTGGAATTCTCTTTAAAAAAAAAAAAAAAAAGATCTGAGTCATCTGACAGATCAAATTTCGGGAGCTGGTGTGGCGATGCTGCACTCCCCAAAACAGCCACTTTTGGGAGTAGTGTGGCGACGCCCTTTTTGTTCAAACCTTCTGCAGAATCTGCACCAATGAATGTGATTTTGACAGATGGAAGAGTTTGTATCTTGTCCTGATTACAGCTCTTGTTATCTTATCCGATCCAATACAAAAAAGAAGGAGATATAAATTACTCAAATCATGCACTTTGGTTCTGAAGAAAATATAGGCAACAGAAAGGGTTGTGATGTTTCAACTTGTTTATGAAGTATTGATCAATTACATAGACCTACTTTTCAATCCATTTGTGGAAACAATAGCATGTGTTTCTACTAACACCAAGAGGCTGCAGTGCATCATTACTTTGAAAAAGTGATCCCTTGGGAGCGCCTGCAAAGCACCGACAACAGTGAAACGTGATTTGACGTGTCGGGTTGATGGCTTTTGTTATGTTTCCAGAGAAAAATTAAAAAAAACTTTTTTTTTTTTTTTTGAATTCAGATCTGTATCATAGTTGCGGCACACGTGTGTGCTGTGCCGCAGGTACGCAGTGCGCAGTGCGCACACTGCGACCTGTGCAACCGGTGCGCCGGAAAAAAAAAAAAAAAACATGGCCCCCCCCCCCCCCCCCCCGTGCAACCACCCCCCCCCCCCCCGGCAGTGCAGTGTGTGTGTGTGTGTGTGTGTGTGTGTGTGTGTGTGTGAGAGAGAGAGAGAGAGAGAAAGAGTTTTCCATCGATAGGATGAGCAACGCACCGGCCAACAGGTAAGTCTCCAACCCCGCGGCTGGCCTCACGCTACTTCCATCGATAGGATAGGATGAATCTACGGCTAGAACATGGAGATATACACTGCCACACTTGTTTGGTTGGTTGCGCGCGCATGTGTGTGTGTGTGTGTGTGTGTGTGTGTGTGTGTGTG